CCAAAGATGCTTAAATACTTCACTATCTGTGAAAAGTACCAATTCATAAGAAATTTAAAAGGAAATGTATACTACATCTTAAAGTAAAATAATTTCTAATGTAATTATGATGTGATTATGACTGTCAAATGTTTGCTGTAGACAGTGTTGCATGTTTACTGATGTTAATAGATTATTCCTGACTCGTACACACAAATAATTGAATTACTATGGCTCAGCCATTCTTCATAGAATACTGTCTTCACTATCACCCAACTCACTCAAAGATGCTGTTGAACCTCAGTGTTCCTTTTCTTCCTTTATAAACTGTCCCACTTGTAGCTTCTACAGTTAACGACCAAAGAGCTTTGAAAGAAAAGCACTATGAATTTTTTTTCTGGGAAAAATTATATATGTAAACTTTATGCCCCAAATATGCTAAGCATATTGTTTTTGTCTTGCCTTTGTTATTTGTATTCTTACTTAAAATATAATAAATTATAATCGATAGTTAAAAGAATGTATCCTTTCTATTTCTTAAGAACCTTTAGCATCAGCATTCTTCATGTGTTTTCTTTAGTAATGAGCAGGAACAGATTCTATGAGATGAACAGAGAGCCCATGGCTTTGAACATGCGACACGGAGGTGGCAGAGTGTGTAGGACAAAGCGCAACAGCCTCGCGAGAGTTGCCAAGATGGACACCTGGTGAGTGCGAGGACACCTCAGTCTGACTCCTAATCCCGTGCTCTCCTGGACCACGAGTGTCAGCAGCACCTGGGAACGTGCTAGACCTGCAAATTCTCAGGCCCTATGCCACGAGCTAACTCAGAAACCCTGGAGGTGGGACTCAGCCACCCTTCTCTTAAAGACCTCCAGGTGACTCTGCTCCACGCTGACGTCTGGAAACAGACTTCAGCTCTGAGACTCCCTTTCCTCGTCTGTAAAATGGGTTTGCCAGAAGGACCTTCCAAGACCGGAGAGGCGAACGGACCGGGGAAAATTACTTTCACGCTCATGCAGTCATCTTTCACCATCTGTTTTTAAATCAAGGGCCGACATTCAGGAGTAAAAGGCCATCTGCATGACGTGCTGCTGCCCAGGCCTTTTACTCCTGACTTCCAGCAGGGGCCGCGTCCCAGGGCAGGGCTCTGGCTGCAGGGCAGGCCGAGGACTTGGCCACTGAAGTCGCAGGAGGGCAAAGTGCCCCAGAGGTAAGATCTGACCCCCTTATAAGCCGAGGCGACGCTGCTCCACAGTGGCAGCTGACAGTGCGAGGAGAGTGAGCGCTGCTCTCCCAGCCCCAGAGACGCTGGCTTCCTAACCCCACTTCCCTCTCCCCAGAGTGCAGGCAAAGGGAGTTCTCCTACTTGACGTCAGCTGCTGCAAGGGAAGGAATGCCGTGACCTTAAACTTGGCCACGGGTCCACTCTCACAGCCAGGAACACAGCCAGAGGGCTCTCCTGGCAACCGCCTGACAGCTAAGCGGCAGCCCAGGGAACCCTCCTGCCCCAGGGACAGTCGCCACCCCCACCGCAGGAAACAGACAGACCAGAGCGATTAGCAGCTCGCCGCCCCTGGCCCAGCAGCAGAGAATGAGCTCTGAATCACTCTATTCAAGTTCCTGAGCTCCCGGCTGCTTTTGCTTCACAAATGAGCAGAATGTTCTCCAGTAAGTCAAAGGGAAAACAGGAAAGTGTGAGAACTCAAGGAGAAATGTAAATTGGATCCCTGCATAAATGTCTTATGCTAAAGATACTGACTTTCATCAAACACAAACTAATCAGGTGCTTAAAAATCAACGTTAACACCAGTTTAAAAGGCCGTGGATGAAAACTGGATTCAATCCCCATACTCTGCACAGTCATCGCCAGGGCTCCCTTGGCCCAGTGTGACAGGTGCCGGTCACCCCTCCTGACAGCTCCTCCCGCCTCCGCCCTGCTCATGGAGGACGCAGTCCCGCACAAGCTGGTTATGTGAGGCTCCTGCGCAGAGACCGCGGACCTGCCACCGTTCCGGAGCAGCCAGGTGCTGCCCGTGGGAGCCTGGACCTGGCCTCCTAACCCGCCAGCCCCCCCACCGCTCCCTCCCTTCTCTGCCCTTTCTCACAGCAAGCCTCGGAGATCATTCCTTGCCACTTCGCAAAGAATGCCAGTGTCTTCAGTGTGCTGTTGTTCCTCCCTGTCAAGAATGCCCTGCCCCAGCTTTCCCACGTGGGAAAATGCCACTCATTGCACATGCTCCCATTCGTACTCCATTCAGGACTTCCCCGGCTCTCCACAACCCCTTCGCTGAGTCCCCACGCCAGTTTTAGGCGCCCTGTGATAGTTCTTAAATAATTAAATAGTAATCACTGTTCGTGTGTTGGACCTCGAGGCATCCAGCCAAGGACTGCGTCCCATGTTTTGTCATCTCCAGTCCTCGCCTTCCTCGTACGTTCTCAGTGCACGTTGAGGACAGGTAGTTCTCCCGCTACTTAACCGTTTCTTTAACTCAAAGCTGGAACATCTGTGAGGGGAACCTTAGCCATTTAGAAGGTAGGAAAACTTTTTGGCTTTAAATTAACTATATCCACTTGGATACTTCCTCATCTGCTTGAATAAATCCAGATCAGATCCTTTAATTTAATCAACAGCTGATGTGCTGATCTTGGTCACTATCTGTTTCCGTGTGTCCTGCTGCATGCTGAGCCCTTGGGAGGCAGAAACCAGGTCTCCCTCACCTGTGTAGGGCCCGCGCCACCTGCACTGAGTAAACGCCCAAGAAGGGTTTGTTAAGCTGCATTACCAAAATGAGCTGCCACGCTGATATTTGCCACATTTAAAAAATATATATATTCCATGTGTGTGTTTGCAAGGAAAGGAGGAAAAGTTGAACTCAATTTTCAGAAAAAAAGTCAGGGGGAAAATACTTTTCTTCACTGAATGTCTCCAACACACAAACACATGCTTCAACGTAAATCTCGGAAACAGCCATCACCCTGAGCAGGCAAGGAGGTCCCGGAAAACGCTCTGCCGTGGGGGTCCGAGACGGTCTGCATAACTGTCCCCTCTGATCCGCGTGGATCTGCGCCCAGCGACGGCGGCGGGCCTGGCGGGCTGGGTCACGGGCGGCGCCGCATGCACGCTGGGCAACCAGTAAGTTCTCCCAAGAACGGACTGTTCAAAAGAGCCTGGCACCTCCCGCCCTCCTCGCGCTCCCTCTCTCGCCATGCGACACCCGCGCTCCTCCACCATGAGGGGAACTTCCTGAGGTCCTGCGACACGCAGACGCGGAGGCCACGCTTCTTACACAGGCTGCAGACCGTGAGCCAAACAAACCTCTTTTCTTGATGGACTGCCCAGCCTCAGGGATTCAGTTGTAGCAACACAAATGGACTAAGGACCCACAGATCAACTTCATCTCTACTCCCACAGAGAGGGCTTGCTCTCCAGTCTAAACCCGCACGCTGGATCCACACCCCGCGAGGGGACGTCCACACTGCTTCCTCTCTCTCTCTCTCCAGAGGGACAGATGCGGGGAGCCTGGGGACCGGGCAGCCTCCTGCTCCTGTCTTCTTCAAAATAAAACACACTGAGTTTTCCGGGGGAAAGTCCTAAATGAATGCAAATCTTTTATTACTTTATAGACACTTGAAAGTGAAAGTTTTGTTCATTTAAACATTAAAGAAATGCTAAAGGAATGAAGGATTATCCAGATTTCCAATAACTAGGACACAAATTCCTAGGTTTTTCTTAAATGAGGGCAAACTATGGCAGGTGTTAGCACAACTCTAAACATCTGAGAGTGAAACATTTTTATTAATAAAAAGTAGGAGGGAAGGACTAGAGGGAAGCGGGCAGTGGCTTTGTATGCAATTATAAAATATTTGCCATTTGTTTTGTTTTGAGAGTTCTCCTATCTGCTACACTCAGTGTTGGATTTGTGATGAAACCACTGGTCATGGACTGAGAGTTAGTTTATGGCTGGATTTAGCCATCACTGGTTTGACAGTAGGTTAATGCCACTGAAGCCAATTATTACTTCTGGCTGAACCTAACCATAATTTATTTTTTTTTTAGTTATAAACAAGAAAAACAGCATTTCCAGCCAAAAATAAAATGTAAATAATGTCAATGTCTGTGGAACAGGAAATACCAGGAACATTTTGATCAAGGACAGTGTGGTCTGATATTCATGAAAGCTACCATTCTCCTACAAGTCACATTCAAATATATATTTGAAGACCTATAATTTTTGAAGAAGCAATTTAAATACATTTAAATGTCTCCTTTCTTTCAAAAAGGATAATATTCTGTCTCTAAATGGTTTTCTATGCCAAAATGATCATATTTAACAGGCAAATAAACATTTTTTAGCTTCTCTAAAAATGAAAACGTCCAAGTTAAGCAAACTCCACAAAGTCTCTATAGATGCTCAATACTACACAAAATTTATTCTGACGAGATTTAATTTTTATGGCCTAAAAGAAGCCCACTTGTGCAAGGCATGTTTCTGACCCTAAGAAGTAACAGAACCAAAACACTCAAAAAGTGAAGTTTTATTTTCTAGGTACAAAATACTATAGGAAAGAGACAGAGATGGCCTTCTTCCTAAAGTCCAGTGTTTCTCGAACTTTAATGTATATCAGAATGATTACCTGGAGGACTTGACAAAACACAGGATGTATTATGACCCTTTGTCTCATCTCTCCCAATGAATATCCCTCGTTCTTTATGCCACGTGGTATTGCTGCTGACAAATATCACTTCTTAAAGCATTACCAGAGAATCTTTATCATCTCCAAGTTGTACACCATCTTTCAGAGTATCGCAATTTCACATATATTAAACACAAGAAAATAAAAACATTTGTTGTTCTACAAAATATCCTTAGTCCTTTAATGTATAGATTCAACAGCAAAAGATTATGGGGAGAAGAGCCCATGCGAGCAAGGTGTCTGAAGACTCACTAGCAGAGGACTTGCGACGACGCTGCGGACAGCAAACACGCACACGTGGGCGTCCCCAGCCCAGGACCTACCTGTGACCGGCGCATCGATATCCAGCAGGTTCTTCTCCTGTCGCAGGATCGACGCGCCCTCCGTTATTATTCTCAACGCCACGCTCTCTTCCAGCCTGCCCTCCTTCATGAGATGCGCCTTCAACACGTCCACGCGGGGCTTCCCATCGCTGTCGAACACTTCCTTGGCTGTGAGCCGATGGCTTGGCGGGAACGGGACAGCTGAAAGAGAGGAGTCCACTGTCACACGGGCAGACGTGACAATAACCGCCAGACAATCCGCCCGCCACGACGCCTCATGGGTGCTTTGAAAGGCCCCACACTAAATACGACTGGGGGCCATCAAATATTAAAGACCGCCTCTTCCCTTTGATTCTAGATATATAATGCGGCTGCTCAAACAAGATGCACGGTTCTTGTTGGTTCAGTGGTGCCGCTTACTTAGAGAAGATCCCGACTGAGTTAAAAAGAAAAGGGCATGAGAAACGGTTTCCGCTGGACGATAATCGGGCCAGGGCGAGAAAGTGTATGGTGCCTGCACACCCGGGCACGCCGCCCTGCAGCCGCGGGCCCCCCCAGGTGAGGGGACAGGGACAGCTCGCTCGCCCGGCTCGCTGCTCCGACGGGGCCACATCGCGCCAGCTCAGCCACTCGCTGAGCCAGAAAAGGGCAGAACCGAGCGCAGAAGGGCACTGAGTCCCGGACCGGCCACCGGTGTGCGTGAGAGAGCGAGTGCCTGTGCGGAAGGGACTCCCGAAGCCTGAGGGACAGCGGCGTCAGCAGGAGACGCAGGTGCTCAGGAAACGACGGGGTGACAGGCTCCAATTACCGCAGGGACCTGGACCCAACCTTCCCGTCTCCGCCCACCCCAGGCCTCCTGGCGGCTTTCGTCGCCTCTGTGGGGACATCCATTCGCTCACTCAGCCGGAGCGGGTCACGCAACGCATGTCACACACCAGGGCAAGCGAGCCCCACGGTCAGAGATGGCAGCATGAGGTTGAAGTTCTGGGAAATGGCCAGCGCGCCACTTAGACACTCATCACTTTTCTCTGTTTCACCAGAGGATCCGTTCACTAGAGATCGCCTCAGACCCACCGCGAGCGCCGGCAGGCAAACACGTCACCCCGTGACGCTTCCGTGTGCCACGCGTGTTACGACGCGCGCAGAGCAGCTCCATGGGACGGCTCCTCTCCTAGGAGAAGCGCTTGACGTCAAGGCACAAACCCGGCGCCCCACCTCCTGACAGTGTTCCCCAAAGAAGCAGGACTCACGGCAGACCTAAGCCCCAAAATTCTGTGATCTGACAGCACAGATGTGTTATCTGAGTCAAATGATAACTACTTAGGACAAAAGAAAAATCAGGACATGAACCTGCACACCTGGATGCAATTGTGATTTTCCAACAATCCAATCCAATCTATGTAATCATGCTGCCCAAATGGAGTGACAGGGGCAGACTCGGGGGGAGAGCAGGAGGCTCGGGCGGTGACAGGAGCCTGGTGCAGACCTTGATCTGCACGCTCGCTCGCTGAATGACCTTGGGCAAGTTAAATAACCTCGCCTGGCTTCATTACTCCGTCAGTGAAGTGAGGATTACATCTGTCTGAGGATTGCTGTAATAACCAAAGTAAATAGTAATAGTAGGAGCTAACATTTATAGAGCACCGCTCTGATGCCAGGCATCGTTTGGGTAGTAAACTCAGACACAACAGCAGAGCTGTAAGATGAGTAAGACGCATCTGCCTGTGTTTATACATAAACTTACTTAGTCCTCCTGACACTACAGTGAAGGAGAAACCCAAGGATGAAAAATATTAAGCTCTTGCCCAAGATAATCATCTAGTGATTTATGTGTAGACTCACTGAGTTTAAACCCAAGCAGCCTACTGCCAGCGTATCTGTAACAACTACATAGCTTTCCAGAAAGCACTTAAGATATTGCTTAACAGGTAAAAAGTGATTAGTAAGTCACTATTTAAAAACAGAAATTCTAATGGATACTTGTAGGTATTTCTTAGACTCCTTTCAGTTCCAAAAAATATTTTGTGCAGCTTATGGTAGCATATATATAAATACGAAAGCATGGTGTAAAACAAAAGACAAAATGTGTAATGTCAAAGCGTAGTGTGCAATAAAAGAAAATTCAAGAATTAAACAAGGTGGAGAGAAAAGGAGGACACTGGGTCATTCCACTTGAGGCATTGGCAGTCACATGGTCTATTCTGTTTCTTTGCCCACATCTTCTTTTCCTCGCCTCACTCCCCTAGTATGCTTGTTAAGCAAACACGGAGACATTTCAACAGCCCCAGTCCTTTATGGAGGTCTTTACATATGTTCTGAGATTACAAAATATCTTACCTGGCAATTCCTCAAAATTCTCTAGGCCACAGGTCAGGCAAGATATGGGATGGGGGCTGGAAAGGGGGGAAACTTCAAAAGGAAGCTTGAGGTGAGGGCAAGAGCTAATTTTTTAAAAGATGATTTCCCAAGGTGTGGGTGAGGCACCCCTGCAGGTGTTTAAGTGCCTCTGCAGAACTCTCAGGCAAGGACCCTAAGAGCACTGCAGGGAAGGAGGCTGACTGCCTGCCAGGTAGATAACGCAGAGGGGGCTGGGCCACACAGGCACTTGCTGGCCTTACTAAACTTGAGATAGATCCAAGCATTAAGCCTGAACGTGCTGAGGCATTTAAGAAAGTAAGAAGCACAGGGAGAGCACCCTCACCTGCAGGAACTAGACTCCCTCTCTCCAAGGCCACGATGGCTGCAATAACAGACGCTCCACCCTTCGCTGCAGACCTTTTACCTGCCAGTAATTGCTGATCCTGAGGTAACCAGCTAAGGGAAGCCACCTGCTCTGAGGTACTGGAGCCGGCTCCAAATAAACAGGGGCGAGAAAGGAGAGGGGAAAGGCCAGTCAGAGGACTCCATTCCCAACTGGATGACAGGGACCCTGGAGAGGCAGGCTCTTTCGCAGTGAAACAGGCGGCCAGGCCCACAGGGCCCACGCCGGGCAGCGACGACGCCAGGGATGGAACACAGAGACGCTGTCAGCCAGAGAGAAGCTTTCTGGGACAAAAATAAAACTGGGCTAATATTTGTATATTTGTGCACCTTTTGGCTTCATAAAGAAAATACCAGCCTTACAAAGGTCACGTTTATTTGTTTTTCCCATTCACCTAGAGTCCTACACGAAGACAGACCTGTGCCAAACACTGAGAAAAAATAATTTAGACCAAAGAATCCAATGTGCTTGCAAAACATTTCTTTCATTAACTCACTGTCGAAGTGACTGGACTTAATGGAACAAAACTGAATTGCCCCTCCTCCCTTTGCTTTGAGTGTTACAAGTTGCTTTCATTGATACACGAGCAGGCCAGAACTGCAGAAATTAGGCTTGTGCATACTACTAAAAATCCAGAAATAGATGTTGACATTTGGGCTGGCTCTTTCCAAAACTATTTTTTATAATTGCCTATAAGCACAGAATACAGTGTTTCAAGACTTCACAGAGTATCCTAAAAGTAGACAGAAACCTTCTCAGCCTTCTCTACTTCACAATTCCCATTCAATGTCACTTTTTTTCCTGAAATTAATAAAACATCAAAGCAGCCCAAACTGGGGACAGGTAAGTCCTCGGCTGACTCCTAACAGGAAACGTCACGGCAACACAACGCAGGCAAACAACACCCTGCACTAGGATCACGTTCTCAAGTCGTTGGCTGTGGAAACCGGCAGAGACTGATAATACTGTTTCTTTTCTATTTGCTGTTTCCACCAGAGTGTGCATCTATCGGATACGGAGAAAAGCTGCTAGTCTGCCTGTGAACCACGGTCACATGCATCCAACAGCGGCTTCTACACAGCAGCTACTGAAGCTGTTGTCCCTTACACATTCACCCGAGAGAATCAGTCCCAAGTCACAAAGACTTTGTAGCCAGAGTAATCCCAGCCCTCAGTTCTGGCGGACGAGGGGAATCACATCCCAGAAAGATCTAGGAGCTTCTTCCTGAGTTTGGGGCTGGGTCACACACAGTGGCTCAGCAGCCACAAGTGATCGTCGCGACTCTGGGGTAGAACCAGGCATCTGGGACTTCTGTTTCCCAAATACGAGCGGCTGAAGCCACTACTGAAGGGATTCCCACTATTTCACAGGAAGCATCTGGGAGTCACTGTCCCAGTCCGCCTTCGCTGGGAGCAGCAGGACACCTGCGGCCTGACCCCTTCCCGGAGCAGTCTCACAAATGCTGACGAAAGAGAACCGCAGACCGGAGAGAATGTTTAGGCCCAGGGACTGTTTAAACCTTCCTTTTGCTTAATTTCTTTTTTCCTCACACAGAATTACAGCTGAAACCTCCAGTGTCCCCGTGGCCCCGCTGGGCTGGGGCAGCTCGCTCCCGCCTGTCCCTGACGGTGGCTGCAACGGGCTCACGCAACCCGGCTCTCTGCAGCCAGACCAGGCAACCCCAGTCAGGGCTGCCCCTCTTGCTAAGTAAGAGGAAAGCAAAGTCCAGAGAGAGTGAGTGGACTGTCCAGTGTCAAAGATCAGTCGGTGGCAAAACCAACACAAGATTAAGGTCCCCTGATTTCTAGTCCATCACTTTGCCCGCTAGGTCTGCACTGTCCAATACACTCACTGGCCTCGGGCGGCTGTCGAACACGTGCCAAGTGGCCAGTTCCAAAGCAAGACGAGCTGCAAACCTACGATAAGCACTGGATTTAGAAGACTTGACGCAGTTTAAAAACAAGGAATGCAAAATACCTCATTAATATTTTTATATGTTGAAATAAGACTTAGAACATGTTGGGCCATATAAAATGTGTTACTAAAATTAATTCCAACTATTTCTTTTGACTTCTTTTTAATATGGCCACCGGAGCATCTAAAACTGCATATATGGCTTCCTTTCACTAGACGATGGTATTCTAGACCCTGCATCCTTCCAAGTAAACGAGGACAAAGTGCGTGAAAATTAAATTCTTTAGCCTTTCTTCTCTTGCAACGCTGGTTTGATTCCTACAAACCCTCAGACTATCAAGATTGGCTGCACGTTGGTCTCTCTTTTGATCAAGAATGATACTCGTGTCCTGGCTCTGGATATTCTGATTTAACTGGTTTAGGGTAGGGCTGGGCATTGGCCTGTCTTTGAATAATCCCAGATTACAGGAATGAGAGCACCAGTTGAGACCCACTAATCTACACGGTAAGTAAAGGCACACAACAT